CAGCCATGACCACATTATACAGCCACTCATGCAAGAAATGTTGGATTCCACCTCAGTTTATCAAAATTTTGTGCATCCCTTGTGTTTACATTTCTGTATTCAGAGGCATCGCTTAATATTTATGCCTATTTGCACTTTGACTGAGTTGTTCTTTCTCTAGTTTCAGACCTGTTGAAAACTAAGATGCTTTTAAAAGCAACGTTGAAACTGGTGTTGTTTTCAAAAGAATCCTTTTTTTAAAAAAAAAAAAGTACTTTTCTACTAACCTAAACTAGAAATTATTTCTGAGTCTCATTAAATAGTGGATAGTTGGAACTCTTAAAAGTTAAGAAAGATAAATCTGTTGGGTGAAAGTGATCTGCCCATAAAGAATGCATCCAAAGCAACCCAGCTCAGAAGTGCCTCTGCAACAGCAGTAAAATATTATATACTGACTACTGCATTTGAATGAAGATCATATTATAAGATTCCCTTCTTGTTCATTAACCTACATTAGCATATCTTTGGAAAGGAAAATAAGCAAGAAATGCCTTCATATAGGTTGTATTCTACCAGTCTATGGGAAACTATAGAGTCTGTGTTTACTATATTCTATCCTTGTCAGAATGGAAGAACCAGGTTTTATTTATATTACATTTGAAAATAAATACTGGAAGTTTCAGTTTAATAGCTTGTGGTTTGTGGAAATATATTATTTATTTTTAAAAAGCACATATGTTTCATAAATCACTCCAACAAAACTGCCCCCCTCCTCCCAAAAGTCAAAACACAGACATTTAGCTACTCATGGTTGATATTCTATATTCTCTCAACAGCATAATGTTGAGAATATATTTTCAGAGGATCCGTCCATGTTTCTAATAGACTGACTTCCAAATGAAAACAAAGAATGAACAAAGATTGCTAGCTCATCAGTCTGATTAACACTGATTAACCTAAAGAATCCCTGAGATCAGTTCTCCAATTTGTACAATATTTTCCCATATTTCTTCCTAAATACAAATAGCACATCTTTGTGCTATGGTAAATACAGACATGCCTTGTATTTTTTAAAAAACAGCTTGGGGCTGGGGATGTAGGGAAATAACACAACTTACTGTGCTATAATTCCATTATAAAAGGTTAGTATCACCATATACCAGCCCTATAGAGCAGCACTTGTGACAGATTCCCTAAAGCCCATAAGGGCTTTTAAATGAACACATTCCAGTCCCAGACCCTACAATGCCCCCATCACCATCTTTCTTTACCATGATAATGGCTTGATATGTTTTACATATCACATCTGACCATTAGGATGGTTCCCAATACAATAACATCAACATATCCTACTGCTTTCAACTCTAGCATAAAATCACTTTACCTAATCAGTCTACTGTGGCTTTGAACATTTTAAGAACTTTTTAATCTGCAGAACAGCTAACAGATTTTTCTATACTGTTGGTACTTCACTCTCTTGTCTTTTTTTTTGACTTTGAGAATTAGAAATGGGAGCAACAAACCTTAAAATCACATATTCTATCAAAAGTAGTATAGACAGATGGATGTACTTACGCTGTATAGAACTTCATCACAGACATTACGTTCAATATAATGTACACTTTACAGAACACTTGATAGATTGGTTTTAATTGATTTAATTCCCTCAACCAAATTAATAGTTCTTAAATTCAACAATGAACTCTGAGTTCATTGCAACAATGGATTGAGATCTATATAGAAGATATGCATGCAGCTTTCTAAGCTGTAACAAGCAACCATGTCAGGCACTGCAACAAATCTTGATTCTCCAGGCCTATATTCAAGAACTTACTTACAGCAGAAACTCACAGGTATGACATTGCTAGCTAGGCTCCTTTTTTGCAAACAAGATAGAATTCATACATCTAGGAGCTTCTTACTGCAAAACACAGAAACAGAGCCATACATAAGATTTAAATTCAAGGCTTTTCCCCAAGCTTGAGATTGGAAGTCACTTGGTCAATGTTTATATAACAGTTCTACTTAAATGTAATCCTAACTGCTGCTTCCTGCCATTTCAACTCCAGCCCCTTAAATGTCAACTCTATTTTGCTGCTGTTTGGTCAATATTTAAACTTTGTATTGAAATAGCTTTTTCTTTATTTTTTGTTGTTGTTTGCTTAAAAACTGATGATCATGATGATGATGATCAGCTCTGATGGCTCCTTCTACCATTAAAAGTGTTTATACATATTAACATGTATAAATAGGACAAGTTATCTCAATACTGAAGGAGGAGATAGAGTAAAGTTTAAAAATTGGCTTGATTAGATTATCTGTACAATTTATTGGCATTCAAGATTCAAATTAGAGAATTCCTAAGTGATATATGAGATCCTCAGCTATAGTTCTACCTTCATAGAGATAATTCTTTGAACTTACAACATCCATGGTTTCAAAACCGAATCAACTATTCTACACTGTAACATAATGTTTCAGATTGCTATATATAGGTTAAGAAATTTTCTTTTTTTTACAA